AGGGGAGAAAGACACTCGTAGCCGCCAATAATGTATTCATTCATCATCTCTCTAAATTATAATGTCAAAACCATATAAATAGTAAAAACCTAGCTAAGTGATAGGTTTGGGTTAACCCACTACTACAAGCCTAATAACAATAAAAAAAGAAAACATAAATGATAAAGCACAATAACAATAAAAATTAAGTCTCTATGATGTCCGCATCAATTACTGTGTTTATTCTTCTAAAACGGGACAATATGTAGGAATTTTAATTTCATCATAATTTACGGGATAGTGAAATTTCATCGTTGTCCCTATTTTTTTGGCTATCATTGAGAAATTGTATTGAAGCCTTCACGACATAACAAAAGATTGTGGTGGTTGGATTTCTTGGGTGTCTTTCCTTACGAGTCATACTTCCACACTTTTATCCATACGTCTAATTCCCCTATCTTTGATCGTTTCGGTTTCGGTTTCACTGTTTCTTTGGCTGATTTAATATAGAAAAATAGTACTTGCTATTTGGTCCAATGGAGACGGCCAATATTTTCTTTCCTTTGCGGAAAAGATTTCTAGTACTCCTTTGGTCCAAATGAGACGGCCAATATTTTCTCTCTCTTCGCGGAAAATATTTCTAGTACTTTATCGAATAAATCAAAGGCTATTCAAGTTCTCTCTGTCAATTTAGATATGTCAAGTGTAAATTATTTAGTGCACTTCTAATTGTATCTCTATAATATTTTCAGGTCATTACAGTATAACGTCGGGAATTGCAGGACCTTCTATCCGAGCAGAAACTTGAATAGGTACTTGTGCACGACAGTGAGATTCTCCTTCTTGTTTGCCGGCCAATATTTCTCTCCACACATACACGAGATTATTGAAATTTGTATACATTTCATGGCAATCATTTCTTGATTTATAAAATTTAGTTTTTGGAAATCTCTTCCTTTTTTATAGTGCATAACGTAAATTTGTAGACTAGACATTTTTACCAACTCATAAGGTGCTAAAATTATTGGCTTATTCCGTAGAAGTTGACGTCATCCCTTTAAACTGCATCTTCTGGCCTCTTAGGTATCAATGAGACAATCCCCATGTACCGCGTAATAAGAAATCCTAGAATAGACTGACTCACGGACTCAGGACCATGATTCGGAAAAAAATATCGACATGTCTAGGAAGAAATATTCTTGGTGTACATAATACGCATGTGAAAGGTATGGACACCTCTATTTACATATATTATGTACACCAAGCACATCCCGTCTAGGAATACTTTATTTTGGGGGTTTTAAAATTTAGATGAAGTGACCCTTGAGCCGGCGGGTAATTGAAGAGTGGAACCCCATTTTCCTGCCCAACATGATAAAGAATTTGATATTATGTAAAGCAATGTGCTTTCCAAGTCAATGCAAGCAATAATTCTTCGAGTAATGCAATAATATCATGATGGTGATATATCGATGATGTAACAACCTATTATCCTTCACTTTTATTTTTCTCTCTCCTCTCTTCTCTCATAAAAAAACAAACTTTTCAATTCTATTATTCCACGTACACTGTCACATCACCGATATTCTATCATCATAATGATAAATAACATTATTCTAATTCTTGTCTTCATGATGTGAAATTACATGCCGGATATGTGGTGTTATATTTGTTTTGGGTTCAAATTAAAATTCCAATTGGAAGCATGAATTTCGAGGAATGTGTGTATAAAGTCCATTCTTGTTCTTAGCCATTCAAAACACTTATTTATTCCACAAAATATCTATGTCACTTTTGTTAAAATAATTGAACTCTATTAGCCGACTTGACCTGTTTGGTCGAATTGACTCGAACTTTATGATTTCTTTTTCTCTCCTCCATTTCCATCATATATATACAATATTTTATGAATTGACATTAAATATCAAGTGTTTTACACATTTTCAAAATCTCTCTCTCTCTCTCTCTTCAATTCACTATAGATGATGAATTGGAAATGAACATTTACAATAAGATTTATTTTTTTGGTACAAAAATCATTTTTTTTTATTTCACATATTCCATGATTGGAAGATGCGAGGAAACATGTTTTTGACATGTTACTCAACGAGAAATTACCACTTGTTGCTTTTTCGGTAGAGAGTCTATTAACCTTTAATGCTCTTGACTTACTCAATAGGACCATATTAGCAAGCATAATGCGACATGCTAGAGTTGACCCAAGACTACTTTCTCTATTGGCAATAGAAGATGCGCAAAGTGCTTTTAGTAGCATTATCGAATGGTCATTAATGATTTTATCAACAATTAAACCATTGACTGAATTAATTTCAATGCATTATTTTATTGAAATTAATTGTAATCAGTGTTTTAAAATGCGTAATGTGTGGCTATACATGGATACCAAGTTATGGGCTAAGCGAGTTTAGATGAAGCATATACGTAAAAAACTTTTTTTATTTTAATATTTTTTTAATTTTTAATCAATCAAAAAATTATTTAATAATTAAAAATAATACCTAAAATAGATTTATAGAATTTTTTTTCATTTTTTCAAAAGTTTCTAACAAAAAGAAAAGTTTCAAATATAAATTAACCTTTAAGTTTTAACTTTAAAAAATGGACCTCTAAACTACTTGGCTTGGCGTTTTTGTGGCGTTTAGACTCTTATTTTAGAACACTGGTTATAACGAGAAGTGAAGAATACGAGAACATTATTACATCCATTATATAATACTAGGTGTAAGCAACATGCAATGCACGTTTACCTAGTTTATATTTAATAGTTTTGTTTAAGAATTAATTTGTTATTAATAAAGATGTAATTTTTTTGGTTAATTAAATAATTAATGATGTAATGTTTATGTAATTGATAAATAATTAGATGTGTGATTTTGATGTTATG